TGAGAGAAAAATATAGTAAATTTCATATGTTTAAAGAGTAATTAAAAAAGTATATATTTTTTTTTTTCCAGTCCTTTAATCTTGTGATTTCAAGTTTGTAGTGAATACAGTGGCTGAATGTTTGAGGATTTTTTTGCCACTTTATTACTATCATTATCATTCTCAGCTTGTATTTATTTTGTTTCAAGAAGCATGAATTCGGGTTCCAGTTCCTAAGTGTTACTACATTTTAGAAAAAATGATACTGATATTTATGTAACTCGACAAAGCTCTTGAGTAACTGGAATTTTATCCCATGAGATGAAGTGTATGCAAATGTAGCATTAATTTCCTTCTAATTTTTTAATCTTTTGGCCAATATGAATTAGAATGTGCCCTGGAGGTAGCTGTCTCAAAGACATGCTTTTATAAAGTTGCATAAAATTATAATTCAAGTTGGAAGGAGAAACCCAAATCATTGCCACTGGTGTGGAAGGGGCCTTGGTCTTTGAGTTTAACCACATTATTAAACAAGATAAAATCCAGAAGAGAGTGCTACAGGAAACCGTACTACTCAAATTCCATGGTGCACAGAGCAGTGCTCTTTAAATTGTGTTGGCTGGGATTTTCAACTGCAGCAGGTCCTGCTGGTTTCCTGTAAGCAAGGAAATGTGATTGGTTGTGTACGATCTTCTTGGGTCATCACATACAAAAACTAAAATGGGTAAAGTAACTGAGTGATGGTTTCAAACTGAGAAGTGCTAGTTGTTACCTTAAAACTGCCCAGCAGATGACAAAAGTCTTGGCATTAATTTTGAAATGGATTTTTTTCCAGACCATGTTCCCAAACGACCAGTTACAGTGATGACAACTAGGTTGATGCATCTTGCTGTTTGACAGAATCCCATACCAATTCTTCTTGTTAAATGCCACATTAGTATTTGTTACTGCCCCGTAGGAACTGTTACTTTTCCAGGAACATTAGCAAATGATTTGTTGGAGGTGGGGCAAGAAGAAGTAGAAGCAAGGAACAGCAACTGAGTAATATCTCTCATCCCTTAACTTTTTCTGTTAAAGAAAAGGGAAGCTTTAGACTCCCTTCAGTTTTTTGGTGATCAGGCCAGAGAGCACACATTCATGAAGAACATATAATACTCTTATCTCTAGGCTGTTGATAAAGTATAACCACTGTTGATAAAGTAACTTTACTGTTGTTTGGCAGTTTCTATTTGTGAATGGGTTGTGCTTGAACATTAAACAATCAGTTAACCTGTCCTACTCATTCAAGATTGTTGCAACTAAACATCACACAGCTGCTTGTTCATTCTCCCCCGGTGGCATGATGGAGAGAATTGGAAAAGTAAAAGTGAGAAAACTTGTGGGTTGAGATAAAGGCAGTTTAACAGGTAAAGCAAAAGCCACATACGCAAGCAAAGCAAAAGAGGGAATTCATTTTCTGCTTCTCATGGTCAGGCAGGTGTTCAGCCATTTCCAGGAAAGCAGGGCTCTGTCATGCGTAACAGTTACTTGGGAAAACACCATCACTCTGAATATCCCGCCCTTCCTTCTTCCTCCCCAACTTTATATGCTGAGCATGACATCATATGGTCTGGAATATCCCTTTGGTCAGTTGAGGTCAGCTGTCCTGGCTGTGTCCCCTCCCAATTCCTTGTGTACCATCAGCCTGCTCACTGGTGGGGTAAGGAACAGAAAAGGCCTTGACTCTGTGTAAGCTCTGCTCAGCAGTAATGAAAACATCCCTCTATGATCAACACTGTTTTCAGCACAAATCCAAACCATAGCCCCATACCTGCTACTCTGAAGAAGAAAATTAACTCTATCCCAGATGAAACCAGCACAAATGACTAGGAATAATTCATTTGATCATCCAGTAGTCCTACTTTTGCAACTGATTTATCTTTTGTTAAATAGATCTGTAACAGACGGCGTTTTCCATTAAAGTCCTGATAAAATTTCTATTGCTTGGAAAAAAGGACATAATCTGAATTCTTCCAGTAACTACTTAGTTCTGAATTGAGCCATTCATGCTGACTTTTAAATGTGTTGCTATTTTTTCTTAGCAGTTACTCTATTTTAAATCTCCATGCTTCTTTGTGGAATAGTGTGTTATAACTCTGAATGAAACTTCTTAAAGTCCTATTTTACAGGTAATTCTTATTAAGTAGATGAATAACACTTGAGTTCTGAATTGTTTCTTTCTAGATTTTGAAGATTAGTATTGCCTTTCTAAAGACAGAAAATACTGTTTCATATAAGAATGCTTGTAACTTTTTATTGGAAAGCAGGTCAAAGATGTGGAAGAAGGGTAGAAAGATCTCTGCAGCTGTGTGACAGAAGTAGGTTACTTGGAGATCTATCTATTATATCCAGATTTTTTGGTGTCTAGTAAAACTAGATATTTTCATTAAGGTGCCTCAACAATAGCTAAAATTACTTCTTGCATACTATGAAATTGGGTAGAAATTTAAATAGTCAATTTTTCCAATTACAGAAGAACATGTGTATGTTTCAGTTTTACTTCGAGACTTTAACTGAAGTATTGTAACTGCTCTGCATGCTTTGGTGATGAGTCTTGCAGTTGTACAGAGTCCTTGTAAGTATCAGGTGCTTGGTGATGTGACTACCCACCTCAGCTCAGAAAATGTTTCTTCATTTAGAAAAAGGTCAAAGGACAGCTCTCAGGGGGAAACATTTAAATTCTAAGTCAGTCCTAAAATCCTGCTAACTAGCAAAATATTAACGTGCCTGATACAGTCTTTAACACACCTACTTTTACTGTTGGAACAACTTTTCCCTATGCAAGTGACTTCGTTTAATGAATTTCATGTTACAGAATATTAAGTAAGATGACTAATAATGAAGTATTTTAGAATTTTACACACATCTTTCTTTAGTGTTGTATCCAAGGCAGTAAACATCCAGAGCTTGTCAAACAGTTCCGTCATTTCATGTGTAGTTAACGTTAGGAATAACCATGAGAGTTTAGGTTGGGAATAGGAAGAGTGGAAGCCCAAGGATTTTACTACCATAGGAAAAGAGGTATAGATTAAGAATGTCATGAAGGAAGACTGTTAATTAATTAGGAAGATAAACCTTTCTAGGCGATAGGAAATCTGGAAGATTAGTATGTGTTACACCAAAGTGGGAAAGTGTAATGAAGATATTTACAGAAAGTTTACAGGTATAAAATGAAGAAAAACAGCATTTTCATGTTCCATTTGTAGAGGAGAGGTAAGAGGTACTTTTAAACTTCAAGGATTTAGTCTAAAAAAAATAAATTGTTACAAGATTTAAAATGTCATCTTGTTAAAAACAAAATTAATATTTATGAAACTCTTGGTTCTTTCTGAGTAATATATATTTACATGTGCATGCATTAAAAACGTTACTCGTTTCAAAGTCATAAATTTTTCAGTAAGATGTAAGATGTATTTTTATGAAGATTATGATCATGCTGAGCCTCATGTATGCTTATGTCACTTTAAAAAAAAAAGCCCAAGACACTTAAGTCATTTTAGTCAAGCCTTTTTGAATTCTAAAAGTTAGGGTAAATCAAGTATATGTAAAAATAAAATTAGGTTCTTATTAACCAATTTAGTCAATTGATAAATATTGTGTGAGCAATTAATAATGTCATGCTTGGGAGTTTTGTTTTTTTTAATTTTAACTCTTGCCATGTAACAAGTAATTATGAAAATTGATGCATACTCACTCACATGGGTATCTCCTGGCCCCTAGACTTTTGACCTCTGGTACCCACCTCAGACACCTCTTGTCTAACTTGCTGGCTAGTACAATCTGAAGCTTGCAGGAGGGTTACATGAGCATACTTATGTAGGTCTGTCCAGTACTGGAGCCCAGAGCTGTGGTCTCTCTGGTAGATGGCCTTCAGACCTATGATCTCTCCAGTATTTGGCTGCAAGGTCTTTCTTATCCAGCTTACCAGCTTTTCCTGTCTCAAGTTCATCATCAGGTTTAAAAACACATCCCCTCACACACATAGTAGGAAACTTAACCACACAGAAGATTTTTTTAGAAACAGAATTTAATAAGGAGATGAGACAGGCAACTGTGATCACTTGCAGGAGTGGGCCCGGCAAATGTATTGACCAGGAGAAGCCTGCTTACTTGCAACTGTCCTGTTTAATCTCTTTCCTTCTTTATTTTCTCATGCTTATTCCTCATGGAATTCATCTTAATCTTTCCCCTCCTTTGGCTCTTGACCTAAACATCCTATTAAAAATTCTGTGTTTGTCTAAAAAAAAATATAATTTCCATAAAAAAGTTTCACAGATCCTCACAATTCCTGTCCTCCCCAGCATCCCATAGCAAGTGTGCTCTTTCTCCTGAGATCCATGATAATCTTGATTTTCTTCTCATCCCTTAGAGTTCTGCTTGAATCTCTTGAAGGCAATGCTTGAGCGGTTCTTGTTATGGCTCATTGATCAGAGTCTCCAGAGTTCTTGGCTTTGTTAATATTCTCGTTATCTGTGATTCGTCAGCTGTGTTCATTTTATCACTTTTATTTCTTGCCTTTGTCCTTTATTCTGAATAGCTGTTAACAAGTTATTTTTACAGAAAGTTTCAATTCACATTAAAAGTATTCCTTTTTTCTCCTCATTTTCCTTACTCCTCCTTTCTCCCTGTTAGAATTCTATTTTTCTGTCCTAAATGGCTGTTATTCAAGGGGGTTTTTAATGTCCTTAGGGAGAAATGAGTAACCTCCTAAAAACTTATGTCCAGCTTTTCTCATACTGGTAGTTGGTTTGTGTTTGGTACAGTCCAGAGTAGTGTATGTTTTTGAATAACTAGGAATTACGGTTCAGATGTCTCTTCTGAATTTTGTGTGTGTACCATTCAAGTTCTGTATCACAAAGGTAAATACTGCATACTTTTCTAAATAATACTGTTGCTCTACCAGTTAGGGTCTGAAACACTATTTCTAAAATATGTTTATGTGAAATATGTTAACAATGGAAATATTTTTTTTTTCTTTCTAGAACCAAAATTGCAGTTTCAGCCACCACATCAAGTACAGCACAAAGTTATGAATGCAGAACAGAACGGCATCAAAGAGAATCATTCAAGACACATTTCTCGCAATGACATGAGACAACCAAGGAATGAGAAACCCCCTCGTTTTCAAAAGGATGTTCAAAATTCAAGGCAGACTTTGGAAAGTAGTGGGTTACCAAGAAACAGAGGTCCTGAAAGGCACAGCTCTTTAGAACACTGGACAGATGAAAAAAATAAAAGCGACAGACATTATACTAGAAATGATAGGCCAAAGGATTTGGGTTATCCCGTAGTCACTCACCAGAGTGATATTACTTTCAAAAAAAGGGATAACAATATGCAAAACAGAGTAGGAAAAGGGGTGTCTTTCACAGAATTCAAGGAGAACTCTGCTGCTCAAGATACTACAGACAACAATAACCAGAAACGTGGGAAAAGGGAAAACCAGATACACAATTCTGAAAATTTTTGTGATAGGAAGGCACGAACAATAAGTAGTGAAGCCTTTATGGTAAAAAGTGAGCAACATTTTGGTATTAATAATGATTACCAAAATCCTGGTAGAACTGATAATTTTAATGCTGTACCAAATGGAGATACAGAGCATCATCAGAAAGGAAGACGAGTAGGACCCATCAAATCATCAGGACCTGCTACGATCCCATGTTTTGATGATAAAATGTTGTATTACAACACCGGTCCCAAGAGGAGATCTGGACCCATCAAACCAGAGAAAATATTAGAACCATCAGTTCACATGGAGTATGGAAAAAGTTGGAGACCAGGGGATGAATGTTTTGCTCTTTATTGGGAAGACAACAAGGTATGCCTTTGCCAAATGAGCAGTACCACAAATTGTACCTTTAATGTTTTCATAGGTACACGTGGGAGATTAACACACTAGTACATAGGCACAGGGCTTTGTTCCTAAGAGTGTAGTGTGCTTCTTGGCTAGGTCCTTGTTCTCTCTCTCTTTTTTTTTTTTTTTTTTAAGTCTTCTTGAAGGTGATTGTTTCTCTCATTTAGGTGGAGTTTAGGATGACTGAGCTCCTAACTGAACCATTTGACTTAAGTGCCGAAAATTTGAAGGGATGAATATGGATCTAGGTACCCATATTATTTTCCAAGGAACAAGAAACAGGATTCTCTGCTATCTAAAATAGTCTGTAATGGTAGATGTGTGATGCTTTTTTCTAGAATAAGTCAGCGTGCAACCTTTACTAGTGCAAGGGAAGACCAGAATCTGCAGGAACAGGGCTGTTTAAAAAAATCCCTCTTTTATTTCAGTCATCGCCAAAAGGAAACTGCAAAAGGCTTATTTTTTGTTGTTACTAGTAGACTATCAGCTGAAGTAGTTGTGGAACTAATGAGTTATCTTGCATCATACTTCTGTTTTACTGATTTTTAAAAGTTTAAATACTTCCTCTTCAGCTGTTTTTCCTATTAATAAGATTTTTTCTTCCAGCATGACACTTTCCTTTCATCTTCTCCTTTGCTAAAAAAGATTTAGGCTATTTTCTTTGATTTTTTTTTTATTTTCTGTTCAGGAGTTCTCTGTCACTCTTCTTGGGTAGTTTCTTCAGTTTTTGACACCTTCTGATAATCTGAAAAGTGAAGTACCTTAAATATAATTTTCTTTGAATAGGCTTTATTGCCACCTTTTTCTGTCTTTTTTTTTTTCTTGTTTATTTTATGTTATTTATTTAAGGTTTTTTTTCCCTTTTTTGGTCTTTTTACAGGAAGTAGATAGTGTTAGCTTAGCAGCATGACTGTTTTTCTCTTTTCTTTGTATAACTAAAACAGATTATAAGGCATGCAAAATTTTTGTTAATGGCAACATATAGTGAGTTGACTGTGAGGTAGGAATATGTAGCTTGGGTGGATGGATTAGTGTGAAATATAATGGCATATTATGGAATTGTTTACTATTTTCAGAAGCATATTTGCATTACTGTGAGACGAGGTTTTGAGGTTCTGGAAAATATGAAACTTGCAAAATAAGTAGATATGAAATAATCCCAGACTGTTACCTGAAAAGTACTCATAACATTAGAAGGGGTTTTGGTTTTTTTTAGGATTATTGTTTTTTTGATAGTTGTAATAAATGCTGCTACTCACATCTAGGACAGTTTTGAAATGTGATGATCAAATACAGTACTGAGCTTAACCATATTAGGAGGCAGTGATTTCTTTGTGTTCAGTAAGATAAGTGATTGAATATCTTCAAGAAAGCTGGTCTGTGTTTGCATAAATGTGAAAAAAACAAGTTTTGTGTTTAGAAAAAGAACTTTTTGAAGAGGCAGTTTTATATTATTATATTTTATTATGTTTTAAGATAGGTATGTATTAATATGTACAGTGTGGCTGATAGGCACTTACTGATACACGTATTTTAAGAGTAAGTATTACAGTAAGACCTCTCTGTATACAACAGCGTTCATGTTAGTGCTGAATTTGTTCTGCTTTCAGAGAAATGAAAACAAGTCTTTTAAATGTTCAGTCTAATTTCAGAAGCTGCGTATTTTCTCAATGAGTATTCTAAATACATTCTACCATGTCCTTGCATGTCAAAGTCTTAAAATTTCTGGTTTAATATCTAGTACAGATCTTACTCAAAATATAATACTGACTAAGGAAAAAAAAAACCCCAGATATATAGGTAGGTGTGAAGCTGTTTGTGGTACTTCAGGTAGCATTTTATGACCTTTGAAAATTTCTCTTTTAAGTTCTACCGGGCAGAAGTTGAAGCTCTCCATTCTTCTGGGACAACTGCAGTTGTTAAATTCTGTGATTATGGAAATTATGAAGAGGTGCTTCTCAGCAACATCAGGCCTGTTCATGCAGACACGTGGGTATGTGATAACAAATTGTATTAAAAAGTATAAACTACATAGTCTGTACAAAATATGTAACCTTTTAGAAATTAATGCCTACTCGTGCAAAGAATGCTAATTGCATGTGTAGAAAGTTAAGCGAATACACGAACAAAATCTCAACTTTTAGTTGTCTATGTGAAACTTCATAAAAGTGTATTACCATGTAGTATTCTTTCTGTATAATAAATTTCAATTATATTGTTTGAAAATGAATAATTGACCTGTCAACCAAACAGTTTTATGCATATTTTCTCTCTAAAAGTTGTTGCTTACTCTATTAAACACAGTTTTCCATTTTATTTCATTGCATTGTATGTTGTTCTGTAAAGGCTAGGGAAGAGTCTTTAAAAATATTTATTCTGAAGATTTTTACTGTGTGTTATGTATGACTAAACATAGACATCTGTATCACTTTATTTTGTATCATGATTTTATTCTTGTTTCAGTGTTTTCTTCTTTGCCAAATATTGTGGTGGAGGTGTATGCCTTGAAATCTGTTTTATGAGGTTTAGGATGTACTGGCCTTATGCAGGTTGGAAATTCAGGTGGCTTTATTTTTGAATGTCATGGAAACAGAGGTACATTTTAACTGTAAAAAAAGTATCAGGAATGCACAATTCTTTGCTGTTTATTCTTACTATAAAAAGCTGCACAAAAAGTATTCATATTTGTATATTGATTCCTTAATGATGAGTTGACTGTGCTTGTTTAATTTCTTACCTCTGGATGATATAGCCATGTTACTACTGCTGCAGGGGCTGAACAGTCAACTACTGTTTCCTGCCAGTGGTCTTTTAATTTGTGGTGTTGCCTGTAGCTCTCAGATGCCCCTATGGCCTCTGAGATGGCCTTTTTATACTTAAAAGGATATCTGAAGCTCTTCCAAGCTGATGCATTATTGTTTCTATGAAAATTACTTTTTTTTTTTTTTTTTTATCCCACCAGCTGATCTGTGAGGTGTTAGTTTCTTACTGTGTGATTGTACTTATTTTGACCCTTTTCTGGGTTAATAATCAGCCTTTTCTTTATGCTTTTGATTACAGTCTTAAGGAGTGGCTTTTATTTTATTTTAACCCTCTGAAAGTTAGCTCTCACAGTCTAAGAACTTGGGCCTGGTGTTCAGCCTAAGTTTATGGAGTAATGAGGTGCCAACCTGTGGTCGTTCTTCCTGCCTCTTCTGCCTATCTCTGACCACTTATTCTTCCTCTTCCCTTTCCTTCCATGTTGGATCATCAGTCGTGTAGCCACAGGATGAGTCGAGTGAAATGGACCACTTTTTTGTTTCTCCCAGGTTTGTTTGTTTTATTGCAGAGTTAGTTTGTTAATGCTGACAAAAGGTGCTGGGACAATGTGTAGAGATGAGATTGTGCCACTGAAGTAGTGTAGCCTTAACATCATGCTGCATCCTGATCTCGCCATTGAGGCTTCCTCAGTTGTTACTGAGGAGAAGTAAGGATTTTCCAAGGACCTTTCAGTCCATTCAGAAATGGAAAATACTTTTCTCAAGGTTCTTGTTTTCTCTCAAGGGAGCCTAGATGAATAGCGTAAATTCAAACAACTAAATTTAGATAATTATAGTTATATAAGATAAATACCAACCATCATCTTCACAGTAAACAAAACTTTAACGGTTTCTTTCTGAGGTTTTACTGTTTTCTTACTAAAAGCGCCTTGCATCTCTAGGATTTTTGCAGGAGACAGTTGATTAGTGTCTTGCTCTTCACTTTTTTGGGCTTGGATGCTAACTGTAGTCCTCATTGTGCACTTGCAGTTCTTAATCACCCATTGGAGTCATGCTCTAATACTCAGGCTTGTCTTTTAAGCTGAACACTGTTGATCACTTTTCTTTGTCTCATTGTTCATATTAATATATAAATCTACATAGCACACACAAATGAAAAATGAAGTTCTCGTGCTGCTTAATAATTGTCGTAAGATTTAAGTAACTTTGTGATATTTCCTCTTTACAAGAGAACAAAACAGATTTTAAACTGACTGCAATAATTGCTTTTCTTTCACTGATCAATATTATCAGCCACAGTGAACTTGTTTTATTAGAATTGTTATGCTAAGGTTTATTTCAGTCCTTTCAGGTAACTTCCAGATAGCTAAGTCTTTCTTAGCTCTCTGTACTGAAGACTTGTTACTAATGTGGAACTGCACTGACTGTGAGTTCTGATGTCCTAATATTGCCAGTTTTTCAGACTACTTTTTGAAAGAGTTGTTGATGTTAAGAAAAGATTTAGTGAATTGACTTAAAGGCATAAATTTAGTCTGTGTCAGAATTGATTGTTCTTTACTGTTTTCTCCAGCATGCTTTTTGGTTCTCATGTGTTGATTTTTTTTAAAAATTTTTTTCCTCCCCCCCAACAAATATAAACTGGTGAAAATATAATGCCGGGGGGGGAAAGGGGGGATGTGCACCAAAAGTTGCTCAACTAGTCACTTGAAAAAACAGCCAAAATATCACAGTGACCTTATTTTGTTAACATGACCTATTCTTTAAGTGCCTGAGCTTCTGATCTACTTTTGACAACCTTTATAATTATAAAAAAACAGTAAGTTACAGAAAATTCTTTACATTGTTAATACATTTAATATAATTTATTTTTCTCTTCACCCCCTAATGGTTAACGTTCTGCCGTCTGTTCTTGCTGATACTGAACTGCAGTGCATTAGTACAAGTTTTTTGGGTTTGGGTTTTTTGTTTGGTGGTGATTTTTTTTTTTTCTTGACTGTAGATTGAATCTGCCTGATATTCTCAGGATACATTGTGCTTCCCACTTTCATGGAAAAGGTGTTACCAGGTGATTTTAAGACACCTTGATAATTGATTGTATACTGTCCATCACCCAGTTTGCCCTGAGTCCTTGTAAGTTTTCAGTCCCTCTGACCCCTAACGTGCTGCTGTTTATCTTTCTGATGACTAGAAGTATAGAAGGTAAAGCTGTGTTTTACATAAGGTAAATTCGGAAGGAGTAAGTACTGGGGAATTTTTTTCAATAACCACATACAATACCCATATAAATTAAGAACACTAAAACTGGGGTTTTTTTTCCCTTTGTGCTTGCAAAATATGTCTTAGGTATAGAATTCATAAATATCTAAGAACACTAAAACTGTTTTTTTTTTTTTCCCTTTGTGCTTGCAAAATATGTCTTAGGTATAGAATTCATAAATATTTTTAATAATAAAATTACATTTGGATGCCACTGTTTTAGAGATCTTCTAAGTGTCTTGTATGTAACACTACAATACTGTATCCTTCTGTTTCCCTCAATGTAGCAGGGATCACTTAATTAAACTATTATAATACCAATGAAAAAAATCACTGAAAAGCCATTGTAGAAATAAGAATTGCCTGGTTTTCTTGTAAAATATGTGAGTTTATACTAACAACTGAAAAGCATGGAATGTTAAGGGCCTTCCTGACTCACTTAATAGTTTGTTGTGTGAAAAAAAATAAATAAATAAAGTCAAGATAATACTTTTAAACTGTAAGTCTTAATTTTATTCTCTAATTTGCAGGATTTTCTTTTCTTAATAAATTACAAAAATGTGTAGCCTAAATGCTTATCTTGTGACATTTTTCCCCAAAGCCAAGTCCTAGCTTTCCCTTTTCCATTCTGCATTTCCTTAGCTATGTGATAGGCCTTGTTCCACCATTTACACTATGATTACCCTTCTTTTTTTGTTTTCATTATTATATGAAGGAAATAAAAATCATTGTTTTCCCATTTATATATGTTATGACCTTATTCTGATTGCTCTCCAAACAAGCTAGAATTCATGCAAACTCTTTGCTTATAGTAATTCATTTTAAAACACTAATTATGAAGTGAAGTCTGTAGTTTAGCCTAGTTTTTTCTTCCTGTATCTTGCACTACCTAGAGAGGTAAGAAGGCAAAAGTTATTAAGGCATGCATAATCCTAGTTCTTCTATAATCTGTTTCGTTCTATGGAGACTGAAAATCCACTTTGCAGCTTTCTTTAACTCATTCCTTTAATAAGGAATGAGTTGAGGAAAGAAAATAGCAAAGGGTCTTGGATTACCAAGTTTCATTACAGAAACTTGGTGGGATGAATCCCATGACTGGAGTGTGGCTGTCAATGGCTACAAGCTGTTCAGAAGGGACAGGAGAAGAAGGAGGGGTGGAGGTGTTGCCATCTATGTTAAGAAATAGATAGAGCGTGAAGAGTTGTCCCTAAAGAATAGCCATGAGCAGACTGAAAACTTATGGGTAGGAATTAGGGATCGTGACAACAAGGGGAACCTTGTGTTTGGTGTCTACTACAGGCCACCCAACCAAGGGGAGCCTGTGGATGAACCTTCTTACTCCAGCTCCAGGAGGCATCAAGCTCATAGGCTTTCATCCTGCTGAGGGATTTCAACCATGCTGACATCTGTTGGAAAAGTAGCACGGCAAGCTGTAGGCAATCCAAGAGACTCCTGGAGTGCCTTGATGACAACTTTCTAACACAAGAAATAACCCTACTCGAAGGGAAGCAATATTGGACCTGATGGTCACCAATGCAAGTAAGCTCATGAAGGATGTCAAGATTGATTGCAGTCTGGGCTGTGGTGACCATGCACTGGTGCAGTTCACTGTCCTAAGGTGTATGAGTTATATCAGAAGCATAGTCAGGACCCTGAATTTCAGGAAAGCCAACTTACAGCTCTTCAAGGAGCTAGTCAATAGGACTCCCTGGGAAATGGTCCTCAAGGACAAGGGAGCAGAACAGAGCTGGCAGATCTTTAAGGATGTTTTCCACAGAGCACAAGAGCTCTCGATTCCCAGGTGTAAGAAATCTGGCAATTAAGGCAAGAGATTGGCATGGCTGAGTCAAGACCTGCTGGTCAAACTAAAAGGCAAGGTGGAACTACACAGGCAGTGGAAGCAGGGATGGGTATCCTGGAAAGAGTACAAGGACGTTGCCCAGTTGTGTAGGTCAGGAAGGCCAAGGCATAGCTGGAGCTGAACTTGGCAAGGGATGCCAAGAAAAGTAAGAAGGGCTTCTACAGGTATGTAAACCAGAAAAGGAAGGTTAAAGAAAGTGTACCCCCCTGATGAGCAACAGTAGTGATCTAGTAATAACAAACAAGGAGAAGGCTGAGGTTCTCAACAACTTTTTTTCCTC